CAGATTTATCATGATTTATCACACAGATGATAGAATTCTATCAATTTCAATAGATACCCGGCCTGGTAAACTGCCACATAACTATTATATAACTATGGAAAATCACAATTTTCAATGGGTAAATCCACTATTTCGACTGGGCCATTTTCAAGTTGGCAGACTGTTAAATTACCAGGCCGGGTACTTTGTTTTTCTCCCCCTGAGCCAATCATACTGGAGCTGGGAATTGCGGTCTTGGGGGGTGGTCTTGCTGGAAAATCCCCCCTATTCAGTTCGCTGATTCTCCAGCCATGAAGCTCCATTTAGTTCGGGGCAACAGTAAATCCACGACATGTCATGAATCATATAAACACCCAACAATCAATCAAACACTAATATAAAAATCTAACTAAATCCAAGTAGTTGTTTCCCAACATTTCCCAACTTTGGTAGTTTTTTCCCTAACCAAAAGCATTCCACAAATCCACCTTGAACCCATTGGTTTTTTGCACGGGCCCCGCCTCAGACCTAAGGAGCTAGTGCTCGTCCATCCTCCCGTGGTGCTGGGAGCCGCATGGTGGGCCCTGAACGTCTCGCAGCGAGCATATCGTTGGTGGAAGGGATTGTGGCCTACTGAAAAGCAGAGAAAAAGTGACCAATTGCCAAAGTTGCGGATTTTTCATGGTTTTCATTCTTTTTGAATATCTTTGATCATCTTTGATTCGTTGCTCATACTCATAGCTTAGAGGCAGGGATGAGTCGAAGTGCATTCTTGCTCATTACCCTTTGGTAACCTACCCTGGCAAGCAACGTAGACCATTTTCCTCTGGAAAGAGTTGCCCTGGACGAGTCGACACTTTATCTTGGGGGTTAGTGATATACAACTAACATATATATATATAACTGAACCGTTACTAACCCCTACACCTATGGTGAAAATATCCAAAACTGGAACTGCGGTGACACCAAGGTTTCTTCTATGATCGTAGCACCTACACAGGCACCCACACGCGTGGAGGGCCAAGCTCCGTGGCGAAGGGTGGGGGCACCTCCTTCGATCAGACCTGGAAGCGTCCTGTGGCTTGGAACGAACACGTTGGGGTGAGACGTGGTGGATCTGTGTATAGCTACCCTGGAAAACTGCGCGTTTGTAGATGATTTACCTAGTAAAGGTAGACCCTTGGAAATTCACACTCTATAGCAGAAAACAATGATGAATGCTTGAAAACTCTATGACATTTGGTGGAAAGAAAATTCCCATGGGCTCCTAACCGATTTAGGTGACCAAATGTGCCGTGTGTGCTAACTTGGAGAGGCTCAAGACTTAGAACCACGGTCAGAGGTCCACATGAGTATCCTGCGGGGTGGTTTCAATTGTTTTGTTTTTTCAAGCAGAGAAATGGGTAGGGGAGTTGAAATGACCAATCAGATTATGTATGTGCATATATATATATAAAATCATATTTATACTATATATATATATACACCCACACATACACACCCACACATACACACACACACATATCATGTATATCCTGATGATTCTGGCTGTATTTCCCTTACATACAATAGCTATTGCTATTTGGTGCCCTGATTTGTTGGGGACATACCTCAATACGTCTCGGGCAGCATCCTACCATGTGACAACAGGTCTGAAGTCGATTCACCATGGAGAATCTGAAGCAGTTGGCGGTGACGGGGATGTTTCATCCATGTTCACCTCTTGGAAAGTCCGTTTTTTGAGGACAGATGTTTTTTGTGCGCACCAATCTGGTGAAAAAACCTGTTTTATAACATGTTTCAACATCACTTTGCTTTGGAATCAAGGGGGTGAAGTGGTTGATTTCATCCCAACCTGTGCCGCCTCTGACCAGCCGTTGAACACAACGCCCGGCCGGGATGTCAACTTCCTCCAGTCTCCAGTGGGTTGACCAATTTCAGTGGTCAGTCCATTGCCGTACAATTGGAAAAACCAAATAACTAATCTTAAATTTTCTATAGTCATATTCCAATTGCCATTTTCATTGGAAAAACTCATCTGGATATTTCATGGATCTTATTTGTTCCATGAATCTCCCATTCATATTCCATCAAGATCCCATCAAATATCCAAAAATGATTTTTGGCGATCTTCCAATGAACAGACCATTGCGGTACCCAACTTGGACAATGCTGATGTGCTCCCAAAATTCCTTGCACTAGCTTTCCCACACTTCGGCTTGGTGCCGCTGACACCGAGATCTCAGCTGCCCCTGAACCGAAACGTTTTGCTGGATTTTGACATGGCCTCCAATGGGTCACCATGTCATCACAAGCGTTGACAGGTGAGCCCATAGGTAAACCTTAGCTGAATGGTGGATCGGATTTCCACATCTTGCCAACTTTTTTTTGGTGTGTGTGGATGACTTACATCTCGCAGATTTCTTTGGGTAGGGTTTGCCATGCTGGGAGGTGGTACTGACAGCATGGATGGCATGCCAAGGTGGATTGCCAGCCGTGCCCAATTACAGACTGTTTAAGGCCCATGTAAAGCATGGCCGCTGCCAGAGACTTCGACCATCTTCGTCCATCTTAGCACCGAAAACACAGCTTGATTCGCAGGAATTCTGGCAACCAAACACATCTCACATCTGGCTGGTGGTTTCTATTTTGTTTTCTATGTTTTTCGCATCCTACCTTGGGATGATGATCCGCATTGCGTAGTGACCAATAATGACCAATGTTGTTTGAAGCCACCAATCCGACACGTTTTCTGCGTTTTCCCAGGTATTGCCGTGAAAAATTTGCGGCTCTCAGAATTTGAAAGCTCCTTTGCAGCCATTTTTGTCTCAAGCGGTGTGTCCCTTTTGTGTAGGACCGCCCAACAGCCCGGCGTTTCGATGAACTCCCAGGTTTCTGACACAAGGCGGGTCATACCTTGAGAGTCCCTAGCGATATCTAACCATTAGTAGTAAGTTGCAATAAATATCCACTTGGGGATAGTTGAAATAGCTGAAATCCTAGCCACCTCTTGCAAGTCATTAGGAATATGGTTGGAGATTTGTCCAGAAAGCCGTTGGCATGTGTTGGCATGTGTTGGCATGTTGCGTGCGCCCCAACTTTGGAAGAGTTTTGGATCCTACCCCATGCCACAAACAGCCCTCCAGGGCTGCAACCGGTGGAGAGGAGAGACAGCTCGGCATGATGGTGCTGGGACCATGTTCCCCCCCAAACATGCCGTAACATGGCAACGGAAAATCCACTGTAAATGATTGCAAATGGAGGTTTTACTTGGAGAATCATCTATTAATGACAAATTTTCCATTGCCGCGTTTGGTTTACCGGAGGGTGACATTGTCTGCGTTTTTTCTTCCAGCATGCCTGTAGGTCTGCAGGTACTCATTCCAGCAGCTTTTCCAGTACAGCCAGTTTTTACCGCAAGTAGTTATGGGTTGATGATATTGTCCCAGGTCCGTCACTCAATTTTCAACGTGTTGGAATTCTGTAACACCAAAAATGACTGGAAAGTAACTATCGTAACGCACTTTTCCGACGACGACGACAATGACTGGTTGGTGGTTTGGAACATGAATTTTATTTTCCATTTCATATATGGGTTGTCATCCTTCCCATTGACGAACTCATATTTTTCAGAGGGGTAGGTCAACCACCAACCAGATGATGATGATGATGATGATGATGATGATGATGACATGAAGAAGCTAATCTCTTCAGCATGTGGCAGATGTGGGCGTCGCCAGATCCATCAGGCGGCTGGGCGGCGAGTGGAACTCTGCGTTTGGAGGGGTGCTGGGATCAACGGTTTTTGTTTTTCATGGTTTCTTAAGGGAAAAACTATAGGAAATCCCAAGATGTTGGGTGTTTTTTCAGACCTCTGATTTCCCCAGTGTGGAGCTATACATCCTATTTTTTATCATATACTGCTTGGTGTCAAATATCCATAAATATTCCATGTTCAATCATATTTGGGATGATTATCCCTGAATGACTCATATTGTCATATTTTCTCAGGGGGGTTGAAGCCACCATAAGCCACCAGTCCCAGCCCTTGAGCACCGGCGCCCCAGCTCTGTGTGGCGGTACCCAAGCAAGCCCTGCAGCATGCCGGACTACATGCGCAGGCCGGAGGATTTTGGGACCCAATCAATCACAACTGGGGAGGCATGGCGGTTTTAAAGGTTTAGAGACGCGTGCCCGTGTGTATATCTGAATATGTATGTGTGTGTATGTACATTAAAGTATATATATATAGAATATAATATATATATATATACATAATATATATATATATATATCATATGAATCATATGCAATAATTATAAATCAATACATACACACACACATATTTGAATACTTAGCTTGCAATGATGTGTTTTGTCAACAAAACTATATCATTTATCTATGTCACGATCTTGCAACTCTAAGGGTAGCGCTTCCATGAGCCAAAGGAGCTGGGTCACTGGCCATGGACGGTGAAGGTCAGTTCCTTGAAGCGGTGTTCGTGCTGATAGCCTCTGGTTATTTAACATAGCCATGGAAAATGGCCCATTTATAGATGCTTTACCTATTAAAGATGGTGATTTTCCATGGCTATGTTAAATAACCAGATGGTAGCAGCTATAGAAGCTGTACAGTTGATTGGCATCCCCATTTCAGGAAACCTCCATATGAAATCACATGAATAGCTATCCATTTCCCCGGTGTTTTGTCGCTGATTTTCGCTTGGTGAAAATCTCAGATTCATGTGACCGATCGGATCGGATCCAGATGTGTTCATCTGAAAATCTGGCACCCAGAAATGATCCAACATGGCCATAAAAAGAGATGAACATGATGAATCAATAGAAATTGAGCTATATTGTATAGCAACCCAGCAACCCAAAATATCCCAAAAGCACACTTGGACATCTGGTAATGATGCAAAAAAACATCATCTATACCATCCTTCCAAGACTTTTCGATGTTTTATTTTTGGGGACGCCAATGTCGCATTTTTCGAGAAAACCGGCAGGGCCTTTCGCATGAAATGCTTCGCCCTTGTGACGCTTCAGTTGCTGTGTGTTTTTCTCATCAAGGTGCAACCGTTGACACCGCCATCCCCAAATGGTGGCTTTCATGCCGTTGGGCTTGCCACATTATGACATATTATTGGGGCATTTTTTCAGAAATGAATGGGATTTTCATGGATTTTCCACGTTATCAGTTGACGTCTTTTTTCGTTGGATTCCCAAGTCGGCAAGCCGGAGGACAGGCCCCATAGCTGCATTTGGGATGAGTTTTGCTGACCCCCAGGGAGGTTTCCCGTGTGTTTTTTCTGTGGCGAGACATCAGTCCTCTCCCCATTTGTACCTGCCAGATGATCGTGGACCACTACCGTCCTTGGCACGAGATCCTTGACTACGGTCAGTTGGCCTACGCGACACAGGAGGTGTGCTGCCATATGGGCACGGAAAGTGGGACCTTGCCATTGGAACCATTGGAACCTCAGGATGTGATGTCTGACTTTGTGGCACTCACCTTTTGTTTGGAATGAAACAGATTTTCTCCGGGGCAAAGGCAATGAGCTTGAGCACATGTTCCCTCGGCACAATCTTGTCACACGTCGACGTTGTCGTTGTTGCCGTTGGGTCATGTGTCAACTCTCCAGCCCGGCCAGATATTCTTTTACGCATCGGGCGTGGGAACGCTGATATGCATTGCAGCAGCTTGAATCAGAAAAGAGCTGTTGGAAGATGTTGGAAGGGGATTTTCTGGGAGAACATGCTTTGGCTGTTACCTATTTAAGACTAAAAGAACACATGCCTGCACCTAGGGCGCACAGGAACCCCATGCTTCCACTTTAATTATGCATCAAAGCCAACGCTTTCCAAATACAGCTTATTTGCGCTCCTGGTATTCGCATGCAATGACAAGTTCTAGATACAACATCATACGACAGTATATATATATATATATGCAACACATATTCAGAATGTGTCAGCCATTGCCTTATTTTTCCAAGACCAGTTGATGCAATGGGGCACAGGTCTTACCAACATTTCGAAGTCAAATTTCCCCGTTTCTATACATGGCTGTGTCTGGAAATGGGGTATCTCGTATGCCCGCAATGGCACTTTCGAAAATGGTGATGACATCAAGATCATCAAGTGATGAAGCAGTTGACTTACATGAAGGTACCTGAGGTGCCATATCTTCAGCCAAACCCAGATTTTTATTCAATTCCTTTGGCATTTGCTATGTTTGAGATCCCGAACGCGACCGTAACGCACTAGGCTCCACCATGACCAGGTGAGTGTTCAAATTCGGCAGCCAAGGCCATGCAGTGCCTGAGGGAGCAATACCCTTGGAACTATGTGAATCCTGGCTTCCCAGAATTTCTTCGGAATAACATGTAGGACAACGAAGAAGTAGCAAATTGAATGATGATGATGATGATGTTGTTGTTGTTGCTGTTGTTGTTGTTGTTTATTATTATTGGTAGGAAGTTGGAAGGATTATGGTGCTTTCCTGATGGTTTTTGATTTCGAAACTGTTCGCGCATGGTGTTGTGGTTCTGCTGGAGTTGTGGGAGCTAGTGACGCCGCGAGTGGCAACCAGCCAAGGATGATAGGAGTCACTACGCTTGTGGCGGGCTTTTTCTGGGGAATGATGCGGTCATTGGTCTTGACCAGCATGCATTTCCAGATGCTTGGCCCTGGTTTCTTGATTTTCATGGGCTTCGATGAAACATGATGAAACTGTCAGCAGGTTTCTATAAGAAAGTGCGTTGTTTCTTGCTTATTTTCCCTTCATCAGTTCTGGGATGCTTGTAGGACAATGAAATTAGGAGATTCTGAAGGTACCCAGTCGCGAACAATGAACAGAAGGCGGCACCAAGGCCTCGAATGTTTTTCTTTCTTCAATCTGTAACAATTTCATCCCCAAGCTTGGATGGGTAAGTTTATATAATCCTCGAGTCTTTTTGCCATAGATATCCATAGATGCAAAAGTAACCATGACCAGCAAAAGAGTTTTTTTTGGGACTACCAAAGAATGACCTGAAAAAAATTCACCGCACATTTGAGGTGATGATCCTCAACAAACATCTTTTTCCAGAGGGGTTGGACTCACCAAGCCAAGTCGTGGCATGACCCCCAAAATTTGTTTCAAGGGAACAGGAAACCCCTGTAATTGAATAAATAAATATATATATATATGCGATTGGGGTTTAGGGGGTCCATTGGATAATATATCATAATATATGCCCCAAATATATCCATTATATTCATATTATGATATATTTAAGGGACAAAAACGGTATATTTGGCGGCTAAGGTGTTCCCTTAAACAAACCCATTAACAGATTGACATCAACATGTGTTTCCCCAATTTTGCTATGTTCAATTCCCATTTTTGTTGCTAAACATCCCTTAGGATCGATTTATTTGTTGCTTGTTTGGCTGGTTGAATCCATCGTTTCTGAAGATGGGTTTCGATTTTGAGGATTCTGGGCATACTCACCGTGGCGATGGCAGTGGCTACTGCAACCAGGGCCATTTAGTGGATGGGGGCATGGTGTGTCAAGGCCGACTTTGGCTCAACCCCTGGTTTGTTGATCGGATGGGATTGATTTTTCTCTGGTTGGTGGTTTGGAACATGGCTTTTATTTTTCCATATGCCCTGTGGTTATTTAACATAGCCAGAAAATGGCCCATTTATAGATGGTTTACCTATTATAAATGGTGATTTTCCATGGCTATGTTAAATAACCAGATGGTATTGGGAAGAACATTCCCATTTGACGAATATTTTTCAGAGGGGTGGCTCAACCACCAACCAGTTCTGTTCTTTACCACTATTTAGGGGTAACCAGCAGGGTTATCAGGGCTTACTGATCTAGAGTTGACCTGAATTGTACGTACTCGTGCAAGAAGCGGGAAAGCTGTTGGTCAGTTCATATGATTTCTTCGTTTCGTGCTGTTTCTATCCCACAACCTGCTGCCCGTTCTGGGACCAAATGAAGGAATCTGGGGTAAACTACATGTGTGCTGCTCACAAAGATCACTCTATTCCCGGGCCATCCGTTTTGCCTCAAGGTATTGTCGCGCCAATCCCTGAGATTAGTGTCGATGCCCCTGCTCTGCTTGCTGGCCCCTGGATGGATTGTGGGCTCATGTCTTTGCGTTCCTTGGATGAACATAACACCATGGAAAAACTGTTGGTAAGCGATGATATTGTCATGAAGATCATGAAGCAGAAAGGTGGAAGAGTGCGTGTGCGGATGAGTTGGAAGATGCTACTCTTCGGTGATCAAACCTGGCCCCATTAGTAAGGGATTTCCCATTCCATGAATTTCCTTGAGGCATTTGCGACCTGCATGTGGCTCGAAGACCCAGACCAGCGCATCCTGTATGCATCCATAGGCCATCGATGGGACATGATGGGTCATCATGGGTCCCTCACCGGCCTCTTTGGATCGTACCCCCGAAGTATCACTAAAGTAACTGTTCCTTTCCGCCTGTTGATGCTGAAGTATCACCCCGTAATTTTCCAACCATAACGCGACCCCATGTTGACATATTCTTGGAGTTCCATGTTGACAATGAACGGGGACAAATATATCCATTCAGTCCATATCCCAAAGGCAATCTGATAATCCACACATACACACACACACACATCACACGCACAGATATATATATATATATATATGTATATATAACTATATAATCCATATCTAATCCATATGTGACCGGTATATAAATCCATATGTAACCCACATATAATCCACATCCATTGGCTGATTGGGCCTTGAGTGTCACAAGTGTCTGATCCCTGAGACCTGCCATGGCCGGATGCCAGGACTGTCAATGTTGCTGTTGATTATTCTGGGCATGGATGCAGGCGCTGCTTATTTTGGCCTGGGGTTGAGGATGGGGGCGGTAGTGGAGAAGCAGAAAGAGGTTGAAGAGGGGGATCTATATGGGTTTTATATGGATTGGAGTATGAATTACATATTCAGTTCTTCACGCATTTGAGAGGATGACTGGACTGGATGCTTTAGGATTTTCAGGAGGGTCACACCACGCCAGATGATCGCAGGAGTCCTCAGTCTTCCCCTGCTCACTTGGAGGCACCTATTTGAAGGATTGCAACCCTGATGATTTTATGACACTTGGCATATTTGGAATAGGGTGTGCAAAGGGTATTTTGGGCGGAGCCACAACAACACCTCACCCATGACCAACGTTTGGCACGCAGCATCTATGTGCAAATCCCTTGGCATCCCACATGCTGAGAAGAAAGACAGATTGATTCACAGAAAAAATGGATGGTCAAGAGTCTCAAGAGTCAAGAGCAAGTCCCACAAAGATACACCAATAAAATCCTGCTAAGTCCATTATAAAATAAATTGAGTATTAAATGAAAAAGAAATGATACATTATCAAGATTATGGACAAGGATTGAAACATGTTGTAACAATTCATATTCTTGCATTCTACATGTTAGAAATGAATATTAATGATGCTGATTGTATGGATGATAACTTTAATCATGAAAGCTTTATAGATTGCTTAAGAAAAATATTGTTGCATATCAAAGACAATGAACAGTTTATTGGAAATACAATTCTTGACGAGAATAAGTTTGACAAAGTGTATGAAAGAATACAACAAGGAAATTATATTTGAACCCCATAAATTTTCATATCAGATAATATGTTTTTTTTGGTTTTATGCATAAGGAAATACACTTAAAATTGAAAGGATAATACCTTATAATAGTATGGAGAGTAGAAAGTGCACAAAGTGTAAGAAAAACAAAAATGGTGACGAGTTCAATGGAATGAATAGAATGTGTATTGAATGCTTTGACAAACAAAAGGAGAGTAACAAAGTATATAATCAAACGGAAGTATTCTGCGACATTTGCCAACGGAATGTGAAACAATGCAGGTTGTCCAAACATCTTAAAACCGACAGGCATTCCGGCAAGGGAAAACTCAAAAAGGAAGAAGAGAAAAACAAATATATATGGAGGAATACTTGAAAGATGATGAAACCAGAATTGCAAAATTGAAACAAATCTGGAAAACCATTACACCAAAACACGTTAAAAGACTTTAACCCCATATTTTTTCATATCATAATATATGAAAATTTATGATTCGAACATAGGAATGTTAGACGTGGATGATTTAGATTTAGATTTATGATATTATTTTATAATAATATATTATGATAAAATATTATGATGAAACTTTATGATATGAATTTATGTGATGATGGATGATGATGAAATGATGTGGGATGATGATGTATGAAATTATGTGGTTTTATTTTGTGTTGATACTGTGATGAAATGATATGAACTGTTGTGAAAATGAACTGTGGTAAATGACGAAATGATGGAGGTGGATGATATGACCTTAGGTGTGTTTGTGTCTAGCTATATATGTATATAATTTCTTTAATAACATACATATATGAAAACATTGGAACTATAACCAAATGTCTCATTCCTTTCGCCATGATGATCCCGCAGAGACCCACAGAGCGAACCCCTTTAACACAAATGACTAATGACTTCTTTCTCACAACCCTTTAACACAGATGTTTGCCGGTTTGCCTAAGATTCCATATATTCCCCGGTGCCTGGATGAATAAAGGAAGGAACCCTAAATTAGGATAAAACCTCACTTGAGATACTACCCAGACCTGAGAAAAATTA